TGTGTGCTGGGGGGTTGCTCACTCTTTGCTGGTTTGAGGTTTAAGGAAACAGCAGTTGGAAGTTGTCTTACTTGCAGCTTTTTCTTCTGTCTTTGTAACGCTACAGTGGAAATCAAAGAGAGACGTGAATATAATAAAGTTCACAGAGTTTCAGTCTACTCCACCAATGTAGGATGTTCAGTTGTACTGTACTGTATCAGTGGATTGTATTGTATCGTAGGTATTGTATTATGTCATATCGTATAGTTGCATTCATCACATTGAATGTATCGTTTTGTAAATATAGTCTCATGCTGCATTGAATTGTGTTGTAAACCTCTAGATAAAAAAAACCGGATAATTCATCCCAAGTTAATAAACTCTCACTGAGGACTGAAACACATTTCATTCTGTGTCTCTGTTCAGTTAGATCTACTAAAGGCCCAGCTTTTATGATTTGTAGCTTTAATTACTTCCTTTTAATCTTATTATTGATCATTTTAGTTGCTGCCATTAAATTATTGTCTGTGCACGCTGTGCTGTGTTGGTTATCAGAGTAAGAATTTATTTTGCTGTGCACCAAAAAAAATGCATCACACTTAGGTTTTGTAGTATAGATGCACTGCACTTTACTTAGGTACAGTATCGACAGTCTGTACTACTTTATACTATTAAAATTTTCCAAAAAGAAAATCAAATATATTTGTTTTCACTTTATTTATTTATGTATTGAGCAGCATTGTGCTTTCAGTTTTACACAGAAAGGACACGTTACTCAAACAGTTACTCAAACAAATTGATTAAACTAGTTTGTTCCAGCTTTTTACAGCTTTATGCATCTGGACCAGCTTTAAGTATGTGACTATATTTTCCACATGTGGAACAACTTTATCAGTTAAGTTAATATAATAAGACGTTTTGCTGCCTCAACCTCATGGCTGGTTTAGACTTGATGAATCTTTCTAAAGGCTGTGACATGACTACATAAGTAGCTGATGCTGTTGCCATAGTGCCAGTCACAATAGAAACAGGTAAAATCTTGGAAGATTTTTCCCAAAACATGGCACATAACCCAGCATCATGTCAAATACTCACACTAATCCAGAAGCAGAAGGACAATTTAACAGTGTTCACAATTAAGAACAATTCTGCTTGTTTTAAGCAATCTATCTATGGTAGATATACATGTATACTGCTCACTGCCCCCTGGGAGTGGTATATGTGTTTTTATCAAGTTCAGGTCGTCTGCCAGAGGCCTGAGAGTTTGAGGGTTCTGTGCAGTATCTCAGCTGTTCCTGGGACTGCGCTCTTCTGGACAGAGACCTCTGAGGTTGTGCCTGAGTTCTGCTGGAACAACTCCTACAGACCACGTTGGTTCTTACCTTCCACATCTGGCTCAGTTGTGCCTTCAGCCTGTGGTACAGCTTAATTATCTTGTGCTCATTCTTTCTAATGTTGCTGTTTGTTGGGATTACAACATCTATCACAGCTGCACTCTTCTGCCCTCTGACCAGTCACAGAACACCCCACCCCCATAACAAACAAACAAAAAACATTTTATGTATTTGTATATGAGAGAGACAAAGAGAGATAAAGAGGGACACTGTATGTTTTCTCTTCCCAGAGCTGACTCATATGCCTGCCTGTGTTTACTTCTTTAGGCCAGTGCAGTCCTCTGGAAAATATGCATCCATATAACTGTCTCTTTGTGAAGCACCAGACCTCTGTAATATTTCTCACCTAGGTGAGTGTGTGCTGATGCCAGAGCAAGGCCTGAATCAGTTAACCCTCAGCTGTCTGCGCTGCACAGTGTGTGTGTGTGTGTGTGTGTGTGTGTGTGTGTGTGTGTGTGTGTGTGTGTGTGTGTGTGTGTTTGAGAAACCGCTTTTCTCAGGTAACTTTTCAAGCAAACTTCATATCTTGGAGCAGACGTTTGCTCACCTGCTCCTCATCCACACTCTGCCCGTCACCCGGGGAGGATGTTTTCGTCTTGTTTTATGTATCCACCTTCTCACTGGGCAACACATGACAACTGCGTGTTCTGGTGCTGCTACAGAACGCTCACACACGACGCTTGTCAAATGAAATCTTAATTAGGCGGCTCCCTGTGACGTGTGTGTGTCTGAAGGGGGTAAGCGGAGCCCGAAGGCCCGGTCGGTGGGGGATCTGTTCTGTATGCAGCCTCTTTTTAACGCTCTCTGTGTCTTTCTATCAGCCTTCTGAAATAAAAAGAAAGCGACTGTTGAATGATACGGGATGGAAAGGTGTGAGAGAACCCCTTACATTTATGGCCTCTGTAGAACTGGAGGAAGTGGTGTAGTAAAGTGGAGTCACACTCCAAAGCCCTCACTCAATTCCAAGTACATCACAGACTGAGGACTCAGAGGCAATGAAGAAACAAACGAAAAGAAAAACCCCAAAAGGCTGAGATCTACAGCAATCAACTGTGTTTTATTATTTTATATGTTAGAAACTGTTACCATAGGTTTTTCCTCACACCTCAAATACTAAAGATAAAACACTTTAGTTGCTTTTGGATCTTTATGCAAATTACTGTTTTTTTTTTTAAATTAGCTAATATATCATTTGTATGCTTAGCTGCAAATGCAATTGAAAAAATAATTTCAGTGTAAGTTTATGGGAATATGGATCCAAGCTGACAGTACAGTAAAAAACATTTTCTTAAAACGTGTTTTTAAAAACAAAACATCAAACGTTCCAGTTTTGTTCTTGCCTCTTCACTGAGGTCATTTATTTGATTCACCTGTGATCCTTACAGCACTGAGACAGTCAGCTTTATCTGTCTGTTGATGTTATTTTCTAAATGTAAAGCTGTCCTAAACACACCTGTAAAACCCTTTGAGACTAGTGTGTCAACAAAATGAAACGAACATTTTGAACCTGACCTTAATGACATTGTTCACTGTTTAATTTCAAGCTTCTGTTCTGTAAACGTGAATTGTTGCATTTTTACAGAGAAAATACCTCATTTAGTACTAAAGTACCTCAGATCATGCATTGAGTAATCCGTGTCACTTTCCCACCATTGAAAGCCACAGACACAGACACAGAAAAGTGGCAAAAATAAACCAATATAAGTATAAGAACAAGTAAAATGCGGCTTTTTCGTGTTATATTATTACACAGCAGAGATTATAATACTTAACCTCTTAATGCCCAGTTCATCATATTTGGTTTGTACAGTTTTTGTGAGGTTTTTTTTTAGATTTCTCTATTCTCTGTAATTCTTTTCCCCAAATACTAAACAAATTGCATGAATAAATAAATAATAAAAACGTGAATAAAAAAATAAATCAATTATGATACAAATCAAAACGCATACATGCAAATTAATATTAATTTTTAAAAACATGTGTCAGAAGTTTAATAAATCATTTTCCAGCTGTAATGTTTATTATTTCATGGTTCAGGCATTAGAGGGTTAACAATGTGCATGTAGTACAACTGCGTGGTGCATCTTTTTATGTCGTATAACTAAAATATTATTTTGATTCTCATTAAAACGATTGTTAATTTTTTTCTGATTTAACTGTGTTTAGTGTAAAAAATCAGAACGATGTCTTGTTGTTTAACAATTTTATGGCACCCATTGCATCATAGCAGCACACGTATAATTTTGCTATAATGCTATAAGATTAATACTGAGTTTAAAAAAACTTTCTAATTAACAGAAATACAATTAGAATGAAAATAGTGGAGACCATCTATAATTATTTCCTGTTTTTTTGTTTGTTTGTTGTTATCTCGCGCTCACGCTCTCTCTCTTCCATGCACAGTTTGACTCCATGTATGTCAGAACAGAAAAAGAAAAGTAAAGGAGCAATTCTAAAACTGCACTAACTTAATTACCTTTTCCCCATTTTTGTGCTCAAATTTTGCGTTGGGTGTAAATCTTGTGGTTTAAAACACATTACACAGTGTTTATTAAATAAGTATTTAACATCTAGGGCTTCTGAAATATTTAATATCACTGCCATGAAAAGAGTTTCCACGGCCCATTATGCAAATTCAGGCATCACTTGTTGGGCCATCCACACTTTTGCACGACAGCAGCGCAGAGTCTCCCCTAATGGTCCTCACTCAGTAAACACCGGTCCCCATGTGGATTTGAGACAACAAAAGATTAGCACTATTTGCAAATATGCAACTGAGTTCAAAGGCACGGCTCCCTCTCCTCGCTTCCCTTCTTTTGTTTTGCATGCACAGCTTTGAATGTGTAAGGCTTCAGCTGCAACAAGCTGCAAGATATTTTTTGGGGTTAAAGTAAAAATACCAAACTTTACCCATTAAGTTTTTCTTTTCTGACAGCGGAGTTGTTTGTTTGTTTGATTCGATGATCCAATAAATTTAATAAATAGATTTTTTACGTGGACTTTGGTTGAAAGAAATGTGTGTTTCACGTGTTTCTCTTTCACAAGAAAGAAAAGAAACTGATAAATTATAAAGAAGTTCGGTGTGAAGTGGGGCGGCGTTTAGAGACGGAGAAGTCCGCTAATAAACCACGCCCCACATCCCCACGAGGTCCCTGAGGGCCCTTAAATGAGGAGGCCTGGAGGTATAGAAACCAGTATCTACTCGGGCCTGTCTCGCAGTCTTTGAGACCCTTCCCTTCGGATTTAGGTCTGTTGACACACCTTGGAAATATGACTTCTTCCAACCCTGACCAGCGTCTGGAACATCTCCTCAGCGCCGTGGAGAGCGAGTTCCAGAAGGGCAGCGAGAAGGGAGACGCGTCCGAGAGGGATATTAAACTGACGCTGGAGGACGCAGACTTATGGAACAAGTTTAAAGAATTGACCAACGAGATGATTGTCACCAAGACGGGAAGGTAGGCCCAGCGTGTGGGGAGACCTGGTGGTGTTCTGTGGGAACGGGGCCGGGCGCATTTTACGCGCGGCGTTTTAAATGTGTTTGCAAATTTGAAATTAAATTGAAAATGTATAAAAACACGATTTTAAATCTGACACGTCAGCACGGGAGCGCTGTTTGTGTTGTTTCAGGGGCCTTTGCAGGTTTAAAAGATGTTAATTAAACTTGTGTTTCTGTAAACTGTAAATTCACAAACCACATAAATTCTTATTTTTCTTTTTTCAGGAGAATGTTTCCGGTTCTGAGGGCCAGCGTAACAGGTCTGGACCCAAACGCCATGTACTCGGTATTGCTGGATTTCGTCGCCGCAGACAATAACCGCTGGAAGTACGTGAACGGGGAGTGGGTTCCCGGAGGCAAACCGGAACCCCAGAGCCCGAGCTGCGTCTACATCCATCCGGATTCCCCAAACTTCGGAGCGCACTGGATGAAAGCGCCGGTGTCCTTCAGCAAAGTCAAACTCTCCAATAAACTTAACGGCGGCGGTCAGGTGAGAGAGAAACGCACAGTTAAAATTATTAGTTACAATAACAGTAACTTAAAAAAAACAAAACTTTTCTTTTAAGAAACAATCATAGGATATGTTTAAAGATTTAATGATGTTCTGGTTTAGACACACCAAAATGGAGTTTAGTGCTTTTGTCAGAATGTTGGATTACTCTGGAGTTATTTCATGGCATCATAATGTAGATGATTTGTTTTAATATACGTAATTCAGTGAATGTTATTGCTTTCACTTGACATCATTTGTTGTCTTCTCTTGAGTGCAAAAAAAGATGAAATAGTGACATCAGTTCCTTTACAGATCATGCTGAATTCTCTGCACAAATATGAGCCGAGGATACACATCGTGAAGGTGGGAGGCATCCAGAAGATGATCAGCAGCCAGTCCTTCCCAGAAACACAGTTCATTGCAGTCACTGCTTATCAGAATGAGGAGGTCAGTGGTGTTAGAGTAGCCTGAGGATAAATCTCCATCTGAAACTGTTATCAGTGCTTACGTGTTTTACATATTGACTGAAATGCTAACAGCCGTTTGCTTCTTTCAGATCACAGCTCTGAAGATAAAGCACAATCCCTTTGCTAAAGCCTTCCTGGATGCCAAGGAGAGGTTAAGGCCGAGAACTCAGCTTACTCCTCAATGAGTCAAGTTAGCATGCTCTCATGTAGCATCTAATCCTGTCTTTTTGATTGCAGGAGTGACCATAAAGAAGTGTCCGATCATAGCACGGACAGTCAACAGTCTGGATATTCTCAACGTGAGTACTGGATGGCATCTTTGCATCAAGGCTGATGCTGGTTGTTACATGTATATATTTTAATTCTGACAGCTTCCATGCGTGACTCAGTTGTACACGTTTTTCCTCCACAGTTGGAGGTTGGTTCATTCCAGGCCAGAGTCCCATCTGCCCCAGCAGCAGCCCCCCTCAGTTCAGCAGCACAACAGGCCACTCTTCTGGATCCTACTGCGAGCGCTACTCCAGCCTGAGGAGCCACAGAGCGGCCCCGTACCCCAGCCACTACCCCCACCGCACCACCAGTACAAGTAAGACTCCTAGTCAACGTACTATATTGATGAAATAAATAAATGGAAGACCTGGAATTTGATTTGTGGTGCATTAATTTTAATTTCAGATAACTACATGGACAACACTTCAGGGACTCTGCCAACTCATGACAGCTGGTCTGCTCTTCAGATCCCCAACTCCACAGGCATGGGCACTCTGTCCCACACCACCAACTCCACATCCAATTCTAGGTGAGCTTATTTGGTTTTATGCTGCACTTTAGGCTGGGAAATTAGCACTGAAGCAATAAGTCACTCCAACCCTCTTCTTTCTCTGGTCCACAGTCAGTACCCTAGCCTCTGGTCAGTAGCTGGCACCACGCTCACCCCTTCAGGCTCGGCTTCGGGCTCCATACCTGGAGGTCTGACCTCCCAGTTCCTTAGGGGCTCTTCATACACAGGCCTGACCTCCTCGCTGCCTGTCTCCTCACCTTCCCCAATGTACGACCCCAGCCTGGGTGAGGTTGGGGTCGGGGAAGCCCAGTTTGAGAGTTCCATTGCCAGGCTGACTGCTAGCTGGACGCCTGTAGCTCAGACCTACTGAGCAGCTGAAGCTACCTGGCCATCGTCTACAGGGGTCAGAGGGATTTGGAGTAGGACCACAGACATGAACGCAGCTCCTGGAGAATATGTGGAAATTTCACCACGTCTAAAAGGATTTTGTGAAACAGCTTAGAGCAGAGGAGGGCATATAATTTCCCCAAGGAGCCACATGAGAAACTGGGACTGTTGTGGAGAGCCACACCGATTTGCGTATAGAGTGCCGCTCTCCACTACAGTCCCAGTTTCTAATCCAGCTCATTGGGAAATAATAATTGCCCACCCCTAGAGATATTTGAACAAGATGACTTGAATAAAGCTGAGAGAACTTTGAAATGGAAGACAATCAGTTTCCCTCTAAGAGATAAGCTTTAGAATAGCTGCACAGTCAGAAATTATTGCTCTTAGTAAATCCTCTATGCTTATTTCATATTTGTTACATGGTTGTGTGGCATCACCACCTTGCTGACATCACACAGCTAAAGTGAACTGAAGAGTATCTTGATGCACGCTAATCATCCAGGTAAGGAAATCTCCCAAACTTGTATCCCTTCATCTGGATGGAGTGTTGCAAAGGTTTCGTCACTCATCCCAGTGACTTCTTCAGTCATTTCACTTTTAGTATTAACTGTATAAGAGGAAAGGTTCTGCTAATATTAATGTGTATATGAGTGTATATAGAATAAATTTATGTCCTGTGTTTTTTCATATAAATGTGCCTTTTGTGAGTCCAATATAAATGTTCTGTGTTCAGACTGAGCGACATGTGCCTTCTACATCTTGTAAGGGAATAAAAAGATGCCCCCTACACAAGAGTCTGTATATATAAATCTATCTTATTTGTATCTGGTGAACTCTCTTGACTTTTATTTATGTCATTTAATAATAAATTATAAATGTTTGTTTTCTCAAATATTTCTTCCTTTTTTATTCTTGGCACCTCATGTTAATGTAAAACAATATAATATATATATTCAGATTCACATTTCAGCAGAGAGAGAAGACTATGAACAAATCCTAAGATGCAAACTCTTTCAGTGGCTGCATTTTTAATTTCTCTTGGCTATTTGGGCTGATTGGGACCTAATGAATGTAAAAACAAATAATTACATGAATTTTTTAATTAATTTATTTTTTACCTGAATTTTGTTTCTGAGAAAAATGAAAAATGAGATCTACATATGAGGACATTTGCTTTAAATTTCGATAGACCAGTGGCAATATAATGTCCTTGTAAGTGGATATCAGGCCCTTGTAGAGCAAAATTTAGTATTTTGGTCTAGACAACCCAAAATGTGATGTCCACATATGTGGATGCCAGGTCCTAGGAGGCTAAAGATGGACACAATCTTTAATTTGTAAACTACATAAACCAAACAAGTGCCATTGGCTGAATTGTTTTTTATTGTTCTTTACAGTGATTGATTAAAACACTGGTTTAATTAACAGAAACGCTTTCCTAATGTACCAAACACCTGTTCTTATTTTAGACCCTACAGGTTTTGTTCTCGAGGTGTAACTTTGTGTCGCTTTGCCCTCAACTTTAAACCTTTGGCCCTGCAACACAACCTCTCTTTAAATATCACCGACCACATGCTTGTACTAAAAGTGAATGTGGCTTCTCTGGCGTGACTGAAATGATGACTTGATGGTCCAATTTCAGAAATTTATAAGGGGTATTTACCATCACTGGCACCCTTTTGTCATAATCTGCATCAATGTGCGACGTACAGTTAGCACGTTCAGAACTGCATGTGAGGAAAGTCAAAGAACATGGACCCAATATGCTAACACCTGAATGAAATACACTGGGATATGCTAATTAATGGAACCATTCATTCAAAGTCAGCTATGTAATACTAGCAGGGACACAGTGGAACAAAACCAGAATCTATTCACTGTACCAAGCTTTTCATTTGGCAGCATAATCTGAACCATCATGTTATAATAATGTGCATTGTGCACTATCGTCAGTTGATCCCACAAAGGTGGGTAACTGTAAATGAAAAAACGACTTTCATAGTTTATAAATTATTCACATAGTGAATGAATTTGTGTTTATAAACAATAAGCAGTTTGTTAAATTTCCATAATTGAGTAAATACTCAAAAGTATTTTATGTATAAAATTATATACAGAGAGTCTCAAGACTAACAATAACTGGAAAACTGGATCTGAATAACAGCTGGGACCACAGCTTACATCAGAGTGTAAATTAAAAAAGAAGAAAAAGAACAGAAAGAAGAAAAACAATTACAGCTTCAGTGAACTCACACAAGAAAGCCAATTAGCTTTATGATTCAGGTTTCTGGTTGAATCAACCCAATTCCAGGTTCGAGGGGCTTGCACACTCATGATGTCAGTGGTGTGTGCGTGTGTGTGTGTGTGCGTGCGTGTGTGTGTGTGTCAGGCCCATGGAGGTTTTGGCCACAGTACAGTGATGGAGTGGTCCTCACCGAGGTGCAAATGAAGGCTGGCGGGTCACGGGGCCACAGGCAAACAGCAATGAAGCGGCAATGTGACCCACAGCTGGTGGGGCAGATCGCAGCAGCAAAGGTCCTGT